AGTAGTTATTTTTCTTGTAAAACTCTAAAGCCAGTAACTGCTTTTTTTTTTCAACTTGTAAAACCCTCACCAGTTCCTCTCTGCAGCCACAGAACCCAATAGGACCTGCACTAATTACCTCCATGGAGGTAGCTCCATGGAGGTAGCTCCATGGAGGTCATTAGTGCAGACCTGCAGCTGAAATTTTCTACCTCCATGGAGGTAATTAGTGCAGACCCCTCTCACAGAACCTCCCCTCCCCTCCCCATCCCTGCTCCAGGCCTTGCCCCTAAATCCTATCAAAATATCATTAATCTCCCCACCCTACAGCACAGATTGTTTTCTTTTCTCCCTGCCTGCATCTTTCCCAGACATCTTGGCTCTCCTCCTGGCTGTTATTGTAACTTGTTTCTCCGCCTGTGGAAGTAATTATTGGGGAGCCTGTGAGGCTGCAGAGGCAGTAAACTAGCCTGCTCCCGAGGTGGACTTGATAAGGTGCTGCAGATCTGGGGCCGCGATACGTACTTGAACTTGCGGACGGGGTCACCCCCTGGCGCAGGGCATGCTGGGAAGGGAGGGTTACACATACCAGCTGGCCGCAGCGGTGATCATGTGACAGGGATGGGTTATGTCAGGCTGGGCTGACAGACAAACATGCCACAGTCCTGCCTGAAGTAGGGCCACACTGAGAACAGCTCAGGAATCCACCACAATGGTCACAACTAAACAGTAGCACAGCAATTTGGCTGGTAGTTCTACATCTACATTCTAGACTATAGTATACTGGACAAGACCCTCACCACGTCCAGGTGATGCCACAGTCCTGCCTGCAGTAGGGCCACACTGAGCACAGCTCAGGAATCCACACTGATCACAACGAAACAGTAGCACTACAATTTGGCTGGTAGTTCACCCATCAGAAAACCACAAAATGTACAATTGTTGGACTCGACTTGACTTACAAAGTAGTGTTCAAAAATAAATCACACATAGCCTGGATGCCAGACCCAAAGCACACTGGACACAAAATATCTCAGTGTGCACTGAGATATTTTGTGTCCAGTGTGCTTTGGGTCTGGCATCCAGGCTAATCACACAGGAATCCACACTGGTCACAACTAAAACAGTAGCACTGCAATCTGGCTGGTAGTTCTCACACCAGAGAACCACAAAATATAGTACGGTACTACCATTATAACTATTTTGGAACTGAAGCTCTTCTTACCTGGCCAAAGGCTACTCTACTCAACTTAAGAAAGAAGTATAGATATGTTTAGAAATGAATTGGGACAAACGGTTTCTGAATCAAAAGCTTTGTGCTTAGTCTTATAATCTTAATCATGGCATGGCAAGTGTACTAAACATTATATATAGGCTTGCAATGCATTTTTTTTCTTCACATCTTCGTCTTGCAAAAGCTGAACACTATTTGTGAAGAACAAAAGCATTTGCGATATTCTAATAGTATGTATTACTGTAATTACAATAGAAATAAGAAGTACTGAAAAATATACACTGCATTTCCTTGCAAAGGAAGACAACAGTCTAAAAGTACTGACACAGTAAATAACACTGTGCGTTGGCAGAAAAGGATCCACTTTAATAAAGTGGGTTTGGGAGTACATAAAAAGTTAACAACCTGTTGAATCTTGATCACTATTAAAAGTTCATAACAAATCAACTATCATCAATTAAGTGTGACAGATTCAGAACCTGAGAAGTGCACACCAACAGATTATCTAACAAATAAACTCAAAATTCCTTTGAAGACAACAAACGATATAACGTATGTGAAACAAATGTGACCATCCAAGTCCGCCCTGTTAATCAGACACCCCGACCTTCCTACCTTACCACACCTAATCACGCGTGTAAAGCGCACAATTCATCACAAACACTCCACTCAGCACGCAAGATGATCATAATAAATAATGACAACAAATTACGTCCTCTCACATAAGTCACCGGGATCTCGTTATTCCGTGACAAGACTGGTTTTCAGGCAATTACGGGACTGACTGCACACGAAAAGAGCAGCAGCAACTCTTCCTGACATGATTTTGAAGAAATCTTGAGCTGATTTGAAGGAGAAGAGCAAGTCAGAAGGCCACCATGGAACATGACACCAACAGTGTTGACCCCTGCGCCGAGGTTAACTATCGGGGTGAACAGATTTTACACCCAAGTCTTCAAACCACCCTCCCAACAACCACGCAAACCTTCACACGGATTCCTACCACACTAGCGACCGGTAAACTTTCTGTAACACTACTCCTGAACATCGTTTTTAATTTATAGAGCCCTCTCGGGCAGAAATCGGGGATGCTTTTGACAGCTGCAACCCACAAAGATACAGATCTGAGAACCTATAAATATTCATGTTCCATTAATTAGAACAATGCAGCGGAGTTTCCATCGCGAGTAGAACTCGCGTCAACAAATAGCGAACTTATGGCCACATCGGGCTCGTTTCAAAATAACAAGCCACGAATCTAACTCGTAAGGCATGCAGGGACCAGGATACGGGCTGTTTTTGCCGTCTTGGCGCGCAGAAAGTGAACGATGGCGAACAAAGTTTACAACTTTCAAAACAATGAATCTTTGCAACTATCTGCAACATGATACCCTCCAGCTATGTGGCCTCAAACAGACGATTCCGGGCGAAAACTGCGAAAATGACACCCAAACGGGATCGAAGAGTATCTCATGTAGTTCTTCGTGTGAGTTTTTGACACTCTGTGAGGGAAATAAGGGAGAATTTTACCTGAAATTCGAAGCTAATTCGCGATCCCTGTCCCCGTCAGCCATCTTGCCTGGAAATGACCCAGCTGTGGCCTCCCGTCATGCACTAGTGAAGGCATCCAACTATAAATCACAAATCTGTCCCAAAATCAAGCAAAAACTATAATAAAAGCGACTATCTCTCATACCGATATACGTACAATTAAGATAAATATACATTATCTTATTGACAAGTCCAAAAACTCTGAATTCACCCGTATAAAAGACCCAGAGGCTCGTGAGGTGTTTTTAAGTTTAGTTGCGTTCGTGACCACGCCCATCGGGTCAAGGCAGGTCACCGAGCCAGGAATGTCGCGAAAGAAAAACATCAACATCTCAGTTGGAAGGCTGGCGCTGTTTTAGTTCAGACGCTGGAGTTCTGCAACCGTGCCTCGCACAGCGGCGCTTCGAAGCAACAGTTGTCGTCTCTGACGTTAGCATACATAATTTTACAACTTTTATAATTACCTATTATCACGGTCTACGTATATTGCAAACAACTCGACAGCGTCCTCTAGCGGTTAGATTATGAACTACAACTTCCCGATCGGCAGGCAACCAGTTGGGAAATGACACTGTTCAGTTGTTATAGGGCAGCAGGAACATGCGGATTCGGTCTCGTCCATCACAACCTCGTCTAAATTCCCGCCATGAACGACAACCAGAAAAAAAGTTATGATTCTGCCTGAAAGAGAATCTGATGTTCGACTACAGAGCTCAGCCTCTAGATCATCCCCAGAAACCAGAGATGTCTGTGGACTTCTTCTCGAATCACCACTGCTACACTCTTCCCCTCCAATACTCTGCCATGCCCTTCCTCTTGGAGTCAGGGCTTCCAGGTCCTCCTTGGAGCAGGGTTCGGGCAGGAGGGGGCAGACAAGGAGATGTCTCATAGTCTGCTCCTGCCCACAGTCACATGCAGTTGAGAAGAGCGGCCTAAACTTGAACTTAAGCTCCTACCTGGCCGAAGACATCTACTCTACTCTACTCTGAAGTGCAAGAAGTTAACGTTAATAAAAACGTTAACGGCATTAACTATAATTGATGAAAATCCTCTTTACAATTGAAGAAAGCAAGATACAACTGCACCATTTAAATGCTGTTCAATCATTCACCAACCTGATGAAATCATCTATGTATACATGAATCATGTTGTAGTGGGATGTTTTTGGTAGTTTGACTATACTACTCAAGCATTATAGCAAATTTCTGACTATTGTAGATGGTACATTTTACTAAGCAATATGACAAATTTACTATGCAATATTTAACAGAAAATAAACATTTTTGAGCAAACTAGAATTTTTGCCTTGTATTTTGTACAGTTGTTTTATTTCAGTGTGTAAAGTGGCCCCCACAACAAGGTATGTGTATGTGTATGTATATCTGTCTGTGTGTGTGTGTGTGTGTGTCTGTATGAGTAAGTTCATTGATACAAAAGTCAACAAGTCCGAGGAATCAGTGACATTTATTTGCTCCAACCCTCGCAGGCTAAGAACACATGGAGGTGGTCAAAGGTCAGACCATGGTTGGTTTGGTGGGTTCTGGGGACAGTAAGTAAAATGGCGGTACGGTATTGCAGACTGGAAAATAAAGGCTTCATCTCCTTAATAATTACTTTTCTGACACGGAAAGCATCACAAAGCACTGTCTATCCTCCACAAGTCTCTACCTGTAGCCTGGGTACCAGACTGTTAACAGGGCCAGGTACTTGGTTCCAGGACTAGCCTGGGTGCCAGACTGTTGCCAGGGTCAGTATACAGGCTAGCTCCTCAGCTCCAAGGCTAGACTGGGTGCCACAGGACCAGTATACAGGCTAGCTCCTTGGCTCCAAGCCTAGCTTGGACATCTCTCAAGTTGCAACTGGGGGCTGGCCTGGGCTTTTGACCCTGAAAACAGTTTGGCATCCAGGCTACTATACCTGTGTAGCAGACGGTTAACGTAACACTCGATATATGCCTTGTGCGAGGGGTGATGTTGAGGCATCTAAACGGCTTATAAATATAGAAGTGTGCCATTATTTCGCGATGCCTGCCTATAAAAAATGGCTTCACATCTTAAGTCAAACCCACGGCTGAGGAAAAGTGTGCAGACGGCATTGCCACTGGAAGTTTCGTCTGCACAGAGACTTTTGTTTTTCTTCACGACTATTTAACATCAGAGGGCATAAATACAAGCATCGGAACCTGTAAATTATTATTAAGTTATCTTCTCTTCCCTATTTACAACAGCCAATTTTGTAACAATCATACAAATAGTTTATTATTCATCTGTGATACTCTGTTTGAAAATTGGTCTCGTGTCCACGTAAAGTTCTTTCTTTTTTCTTCCTTTTACCTCTGGTGCAACATATCATTTTCACTAAGACAGGATTCTCCTCCTGACGTGAATGTCTGTCAGTGTCTCGAGTCTGTTCTTTCGTTACTTCTGTCCCCGTGGTCGAGGGGAGATCTGTGTTCTAAGGGCGATCTGTGCTCTAGAGGCGAGCGGTGTTCTATCAAAGCCCTGTGGTCCTTTGGGTCCTCCCTGGTTCTACTACTAGAATGTTCCTGCGTGTTTGAGGACCTGTGTTCGCTACTGTCTTTCCTCGACTTCTTCTTGCCGTCCGAAGACGAATAGGAGTCATCCTTTTTCCTGCGCTTGTGGTCCGACTGAGAATGGTGCAACCTCTGATCCCCGCCGCGTTCCCCTCCCGAAGACGAGTGACCACCGGATTCGGTGCGACCGCTCCGATGCGAACCGTCTTCCTTGTTCCCGGCGCGGTCTCGGTGTCTGGAAGAAGAGTCCCGGGACGAGCCTGAGTCCCGATCTCGGTGGTCCCGCGAGGACCGGTAGTCCCGGTCGCCCCGCTCGCGGTCCCGGTGGTCCCTCTCCCTGTCCCGATCGCGGTCCCGGTCCCATCGGTGGTCCGCGTTGTACCGGGAGGAGTCCCGCGTCCGATGGGAATCGTAGTCGCGGGCGCCCGGCCGATTGTATGCACTGCTGACCTCCCCTCGATGCCTGAAATGTAGTCAAGAGCATAGCTGAAATTACTATAATACATATATCTCCTCAGCAATGAAACCATCAGAAAGGAGATCATACTGTCAACTGCACACACATTCAGTCACCACTACTTCATTTTTCTCTGGTTGATCACTTTTACAAGTTATTCACTTCATCCCACTACAAGTAAAACACTTTCACTAAGCAGGTTTGTCACAGGAGATTAGAAATCCAGATAGAACATATATCAAGAAACTATAAATTCTCTAAGGAGTAAAATGTTTCAGATATAATCTGCTATCTGATGAAAGCTAGGGGGTTTCTTGAGAGTTCCTTACCTTTCCCTGAAGGGGTCCCTGCCGGGCTGGTACCTGTCGTGCCCCCACCTGTCCGCCCCGCCTCCCGTGCCGGCTCTCCCCGCCGTGTGGCCGTAACTTGAGCTGGTGCCGGGCCACGGGCCGTTACTCGTGAAACTACACAACAAAAACATGTCTTAGTACAGGCACTAGACATAGCAGAACACATACACACACAAGCAAGCACACACAAACACACACACACACACAAAAACACACACACACACCAAAGCAATACCATTCTCATGAGCGATCAAACAAATCCAAAGCAAAGGCCAGCAGACCCTGTGCACTTTGTGAAGGCCTCTTCACCACGTGTGCGTGTTGGCTTCCCCCCCCTCCCCCAGCCACTGCTAAGCAGACACCCCTCCCTCCCCCCTTGCTGTGTCTCCCGTCTCACCTGTCCCTGCTAGCGGAGTCACTTCCCCACCCTGACGTCCTCTCGGAACCCTGAGAAGGCCTCTTCACCACGTGTGCGTGTTGGCTGTCCGACGGTTCTTTCTTCACGATCGTGGAGTTGGAAGTCGCCGTCGGCTTGGTCTTTTCTTTGGTCTGCTTCTTTGGGAAATTGGGGGAAAGGACCTCTAGGTCAAGCTTTTCTTGCTTTATTTAAATTACAGCAACACTACTGTATGCAAATTCTTCACAAAGCACTTTTTTGACTTTGACTAACCTAGTTTTATCTGGTAGAGGTTCATTTTTTTCATTACATTTTGACATACAGATAGTGACTGTCCATGAGACTGATGTTAAGTGATCTTAAAGATACAAGTATTCAGGACCAAGTCACAAAACTTTGTACTGTAAGGCATGACATTCCTTATGAAAAAATGGCCAGCTTCTTTTACAAAAGGAAATCATTGAACAAAAATAACTTTTAAGTTTAACAAACCTCTTTCTCCTCCTCCCTCTTTTTGACAGCATGTTTGTATAGTTTGAAGAGTTTCCGGGCATCAAACTCGGTGAACTTGGATACGAATATCCAGAGATTACTGGAAAGACAACAGACAGACAGAATCATTGTCAATTTCTTTTGCCTAACACAAGCTGTAGTAGTTACATGTAGTTCAAACCCTTCATAGTAAGTTAAAACTCCTTCATAGTAGAGTCACCTCAGCTATGTCTACACTGAATTGCCAGAATGTTTAGATGTGCATGCAAGATTCCCCCACCAAAAACATTTCTCCAGCAGTTGTATGTAACCTTTCCTGATACATTTGTACATAGGCTTCAAAAACTATTGCATTGCATATCTCTAAATCTAAGTCTGAAGGCAATTTCTTTCATCTTTGTGCCAAGTCGATAAAATTAAGATCAACACTTACTTTCTCCACTTCTTGACTTCCTCGGCGTCTGTCCATTCCTTCAGGCACTCCATGATGCGGTCGCCTATTTTCAGCAGGCACTGCCTGGTGTGGTTCAGCTGTTCCTCCTCTGTAAGGCCCTCCTCAGGCTTGTCCAGCTGCTTTAGTGCCTTTTTAACTGGTCTCATCCTCTCCTTGCACTGTTTAGGGGAAAAGTTATGAAACAGAATCATTCGATGTCCGGTACAATTCTTCCAAGCTGCAATTTTGATGTGTAATCTAAACAACAGGCAAAACTGCTAAAGACATGCACTAGGGGGAGTTGAGGACTGATAAAATCTAGTCAATGTGACAGGTGGTCACTATAGACAGGAGTCTAAATGCTTGTGTCAATAGGAAAATTATCTGAGAGATCAGCAAAAAGTGGTCACATTGGCCAGGTGGTTTGTTGTTTGTTTGTTTGTTTTTATTAGATCTCCATTAGTGTTCAACTGACCACTATTCTTCCTGGAGTCCACATAAAATTCAAAATTATAACAACAGAAATGTACAGAATTCAACACAATATTACCATAAATTGAACAATTAAAAATAATTAACATAATTAAGTAACATAAGCTGAGTTCGAATCAGAGTGATCACTGACATTAAAGAAAGTAACATAATTAAGTAACATTTGAAATCAAATTAACAATCAGTTAATGTAGTCAACTATGAAACAAATTAACAACAAAATGGTGGTTCCAATGTAGAGGTGGTCACTGGTACAGATTTGACTGTACTGTACTCTTTTGGCTGAAAAGAATATTTTCAGTAAACAAAAAATCCTCACAGCAATACATACCATGTTGAAGGTTTCTTTGCCCAGATCGTCCATGTCTTCTAACACAGAATGCTGAGATGCGTCCGGGTCCAGGTCAGTGTTCAGGGGCTCTTTCTTGTTCTTCTCCTTGGGTTTCGCTGGTGTTGTTTTGTCAGCAGACTGAGGGGAATAATAAAGAAAGGTATTAAGATAATAAATCAGGCAGTGATACATTATAAGTATTCTTAGTTACAAAATCACGTAGAAAAACTTAGAGACATTAACCATAACCTTGAAGATACTAGCCTGTAGACAAATCAAAATCTACAACCAACGGTAAGACTTGGGAGAAGAGATGCTGTTCTATCAACCCGAGTGGTCCTTAAGACTGTCACTAAGCAAATTTGTTGACGAAAAAAGAAGAAAGATGTACCCTACCTCTTTGACAATCTTGGGAGTTTTGGGTTTCTTGGCCCATTTGACTGTATTTTTGACAACCAGTTCCTTTTGTCGCTTTTTTTATTCCTTCCTTCCTTCCTTTTCTTGTAATAATAATTTATTTGACTGCCTAGAAGTTGTCTCTTGACTTAACAGTGAGCAAATCAAAATAAAAAAGGAGCCTACCTCTTTGACAATCTTGGGGGTTTTGGGTTTTTTGGCCCGTTTGACTTTAGTCTTGACGACCGGTTCCTTGATGTTGTTTTTTTTATTCCTTACTTCCTTCTTTTTTGTAATCGCAATTTATTTGAGTGGCACTGCCTCGAAGCAAATTAGTTTTATAAAATATCATACCTCTTTAACAATCTTGGGTGTTTTGGGTTTCTTGGCCCGTTTGACTTTAGTCTTGACGACCAGCTCCTTGATGTCAGTTTTGTCGTTGCTGTCCTCCACCTCCCCCTCTTCTAGCGGTTCCCGATGTTCCTCTGGATCGAGGTTTGGTTCGTCTACCGGAGCTTCGTTCTCCTTCCGCTCCACGAACTTGACTTTGGCTTTGGGTCTCTTCACCGCGGTCGGGTCTTTGGGCTGTTTGGGCATCCGGGGTCTTCTCTCCTTCTTGATGACCTGCATAAATGTACAACAGGAGAAACAGTTTATTATTAGACTTGAGAAGATGATAACTATGAATTTCAATAGGTACTGTGCAGGGTTAAGGTTAGGACCTTCTGTTAACCATCTTACGTAACTAATTATCACTTTTTGCAGTCCCCAAAGAGCATTCTTGCCCCAATCAACAACCAAAATTTACGATGATTGCTCCATACACAAGGAAAAATCAGCGAAGCACTCTGATATTGTGCAAAGTACAAATGGGAATTCTGACATTAAAGAAAAACTCAAGCCACTTTTTTTGGCTACTTTAGGAACAGACAACCAACCCAAAGGCCACATTTGATTACGACCAGGTTTGGCGGTCTTACCGACTTTATGTGGTGTCCAAAAATTCAACACTACAATTCACAAATTTTGCACCAAACCTAAGAGTCCTGCCTCACCTTCCCTTCTGCGAGTGCCTCCTTCTTGACTTGGTCCTTGTTCAGCAGCCTGATGAGGTACTCTGCTCGTGACTGCAGGTGTTTGGCCTGGGGTTTCTTATCCTCATCCAGGAGAATCTGTTACAGTAGGAAGGAGAAACAAAATTACATTATGTAGCCATTAGTCTTGACAGCAGTCAAAGAAGCTGGTGTGTGAAAGGCAGTGTGGTGTGTGTGTGTGTGTGTGTGTGTACATGTGTGTGTGTGCATGTGTGTGTGTGTGTGTGTGTGTGTGTGTGTGTGTGTGCGTGCGCGCGGCGTGTGTGTGTGTATGTGTGTGCGTGTATTTGTGTGTGTGTGTGTGTGTGAGATAGCGTACCTGCGCACATGCATGTGCGTGAAGGACCCTACCTTATCCGACAGGTAATTTCCGGGTCCACCGTGTGTGTGTGTGTGTGAGTGCACAGTATCCCAGCTACCCATCCCGTACTTGTGTGTGTGTGTGTGTGTGCGTTTGTGTAGGACGTGTACGTACGCACATGTAGGACCCTACCTTATCTGCACTGTATCCCAGCTGCCCATTCCGTGTGTGCATGTATGTGCGAGTGTGTGTGTGTGCGTGTGTGTGCATGTATGTGCGAGTGTGTGCATGTATGTGCGAGTGTGTGCGTGTGTGTATGAGTGCATGTGCATGCCTGTGCACATGAAGGTTCCTACCTTGTCCGACAGGTTAAGTTCAGGGTCCATCTGCACTGTGTCCCAGCTGCCCATCCCATACTCGTAGATGCCGACCAGCAGAGCGGAGTCCTCCTCCGCAGCCCAGTCCACGTCCCAGTGGGCCAGCTTGGCCCTGCACGGCAGCCGGAACTTCTTCCGCTCCTCCGGGTCCTCGGGGATGGCCTTGGCCAGCGGTAGCATCTCCTCCTCGTGTCTCAGGATGGACGGAGCGTTCACCGTCACTGTGGACAGCTTCAACGTTGGGCCGCGCTTCTTTCCTGTTGTTGGGGGAAACAGCAACAGTTAAAAGATCACAATTTATATTATTTGGTTGAATTAATAGCTGTATATGTTGTAATTGTTGTTATTGTGATTGTATTGTATTGCGTTGCTTTTTAAAAAAACAGGATTGTCTGAAAAACAGGTCAAATGACCTGAGTACAAATATCCTGTATAAATAAATAAAGTAAAGGTGAAAAAAAGGGTTTAATAAGACATTTTGTATAATGGATTTTTAAGTGATTGGTATGAGGGGCCTTTTATTGTTAAACCATTGTCATGCTAGGCTCTTGGTGAATTTGATACAGAAAAAGATGGACCCTGGAACTTCTGGCTTTTGAATTACATTGTAAAACAGAAAAGAATTTGGCTGACGTAAAAACAACTCTAAATGTCCCTGTTTAGTAAAGAATATAGTAGGTTTTACCACTACACACAGAAGTAAGCTTCTATCTCACTACATGCTGTGCCTATTTAAAATAACTAAAAGGTTTGGAAGGTTTAAACAGGTGATTGCCACCTGCTACGTAAAATCCTTCAAAAATGTGGTAAATCTCAATGAAAAATGAATAAGGCTTCCAACAACAACTTGCCATCGAATTCTGGGTTCTCCTTCATCTGTTTCTCGTACTCCTCGATAGCCTTGACGCAGCCGTCGTGCAGCAGGTCTCCCAGCCGCTTCAGGTCTGCGTACGACTTCTCCTGCAGCTCCGCGTCGCCTGCTATAGCCTCTAACCTGGAGGGGGGGGGGGCAGACACAAGGACCAGAGTTAACAACCTAGGATTGAGGTGTTCAAAAATTAGCTATAGCCTCTAACCTAGAGTACAGATGCTAGGAGCACTGGTATCAACCTTGGATGTTCAAAAATTAGCTATAGCCTCTAGCCTAGGGGACAATTGCAGGTTAAGGTAAACCTACAGTAGGTGTCACGAAACGATAGAAATAACACATGCAGACTATGCATGATGTACAATATGATTTCAATACCCGAGTTATCAAACCAGGATTGAAGTGTTCAAAAATTTGTTTTTTCCACAGTAGTAGAGTAGAACTCATTCCTAGGATGGACATCATCACTAGCTTTAACCAATGCTGGCAGATCCAGACAAGGTGGCGGAGTGGGGGTTTATGTGAGACAGACCATCCCGTCTCAACGTCGGTCTGATCTCGAGCGGGACGACCTGGAGGTTTGTTGTGTCGAGGTAAAACCGGAGAAGGCGAGAAAGACTATCCTCGCGTGCGTGTACCGACCACCGAACTCCGGTTCTGAATGGAGAGACTCTGCCGAGTCACTCGTCCGCACTCTCAGCCAAACCGCAGAAGATGAAAACGTGGATGTCTCGATCATGGGGGACTTCAACTCTGACCTGCTTAAATCTATTCAGTCAGAATCTTCAGTGGAATTCCTGAAGGGTCTGTACCAACTCGTCCCTGTCATACACCAACCAACCCGTGTCACGGAGACTACTGAGTCATGCATTGATAACATTTATGTTTCTAACCCAGTCAGATACAAATCAGCTGCGAGTGTAGCCTGGGGGCCTTCAGATCATCACCTCATTCTGACCTGCTCTAAATCAGGAAGAGAGGCTGGTGTGGCTCACCAGTATGAACATAGGTCTTACAAGCATTACTCACAGCAATCCTTCATTGACAGCTTAAAATCAGTCAGATGGGATACAGTACTCGACTGTGTGGATGTTAGCGAGGCCTGGAATGCCTTTACGGACATTTTCCTGAATGTTGCCAACGAACACGCCCCGCTCCGTAAGAAAACACTTCGGGAGAACAACCGCACAGCCCCATGGATGACTGACAGGGTGAGAAACATGATGGGTCGTCGGGACGCTGCCAGACGCAAAGCTATCAGAACAAAAGTTGTACAGGACTGGGATACTTACCGTGCTCTGAGAAATCAGACAACATCTCTGATCAGAAACGAGAAGAGAAGTCACTTTGCCAAAGCTGTGTCAGAGGCCAAGGGTGACCAATCTCTCATGTGGAAGATCATAAACACTTTTACAGGGAAATCAAAATCCAAAGGCCGAGTCCAGAAATTGGTGCGAGCTGACAACACTTCCACGTCTGACCCAAGCGAAATGGCCCAGGAATTCAATGATTACTTTTCATCCTGCGCTTCACGACTTACGGATGAGATACCAGATTCCCAGGAGGATCCTCTCCGCCACATCCCTGACCCCTCGACAAAATTCAGTTTTGAAGGTGTTGAAGAGTCAGAAGTGATGAATGAACTTTTAAGGCTGAAACAGGAAAGCAACGGGGTTGGACAAAATTCCAGCTAAACTTCTCAAAGACTCTGCCCCAGTGATTGCAAAGCCTCTGACTCATATATTTAACTTATCACTCGCCTCTGGAGAGGTTCCATCTGACTGGAAGGAGGCTCAGATCTCACCTGTACACAAGTCTGGCAACTGTGCTGATGTTGGTAACTACCGCCCTGTGTCTGTGCTAAGTGTTACGTCAAAGGTAATGGAAAGGCTTGTATGTAATCAAGTGACACGTTACCTGACCAGATGTGAACTTCTCACTACTTACCAAAGCGGGTTCAGGAGGCACCATAGCACGGGGACTGCTGTACAGAAGATTGTAGAGGACATTAGATCTGGTTACAACTGCAGTAAAGTCACAGTCGCACTATTTCTGGACCTACGGAAGGCTTTCGATTCGGTTAACCATGACATTCTGTTAGGCAAACTTGATAAGCTTGGCTTTGACAGTGACGCCATGAAATGGTTTTCCTCTTACCTGTCTGAGCGCTTCCACTGCACGTGCCTTCAGGGTCAACACTCTACAAAAACTCGGGTCTCCTGTGGGGTTCCTCAGGGAAGTGTTCTAGGGCCCCTACTGTTCTGTCTGTACGTTAACGACTTACCCAACGTCATTGAAAAATGCAGCATCCACATGTATGCTGATGACACAGTCCTGTACTACTCGGCTGACTCCGTGAAGGCCTGTGAAGAGACTGTCTCTATGGACATGAAGAGAGTTGTAAAATGGCTAAACGAAAATAAGTTGCTGTTACATCCTGACAAAACCAAATCGATGCTCTTCGGGCTCCCTCAGAAATTGAGGCATGCTGGGACATCCGTCAACATAACAGACGGTGTGAATGTATATAAGCAAGTTGATTCGTTCACTTACCTGGGCATTACTCTCGACCCATCACTCAGGTGGGCAGCACATGTGCACAGAATCACGAAGAAGCTTCTTAGAGGACTCGGAGCCATGGGGCGTGCTAGAGCCTTTGTTACAAAGGAAGTTCTGCGTACCATGTACCAGACACTACTACTGTCTCATCTGGAGTATTGTGCCACAGCATGGCTACCAAGTCTTGTACAAGGCAACAAGACTCTTATGTCACAGCTGGACAGACTGGTCAACCGAGCTGCAAGGCTTATTACAGGTCACAAACTCCAGGACCATGTCTCAGCGGTTAACCTGCGAGCTGAGGCAGGGATAGATTCTGTGCGCAAACGGACAGAAATCACAACCCTTGTCAATGTCTTTAAGGCAATTCGTGGTAGTGCGCCGGTGTACATGGCATCTCTGTTCAAGTGGGAGACTCCTCCAACATTAAGCGTACGGACTACTCGCTCAGAGTTAAAGCGTCTTAGGGACTACGACCCTCACCTACTCTTCTGTCCACCAGTAAGAGTCACGGCATACCGGAGCAGTCTGCAGTACTATGGTCCTTACCTGTGGAACACTCTTCCGCTACAGCAACGACAGCTCCTTAGTCTCAGGACTTTTAAACAGAACATTAGAAGCAGGACTTCTCAGGACTTTTAATACAGATAATTAGGAGCAGGACTTCTTAGGACTTTTATACAGAGCATTAGGTGCAGGATTTGACACTCTTGATGTTTAGGATGTTGTAATTTAGTAATAGTTTATGTAATGTATATTTGTTGTGTGTATTTTTATATGTATCCAGGATTACCTGAAAAGCAGGCCAAATTGGCCTGAGTTGTAATTACTGGTTAAATAAATAAATTGAAATTGAAAATTGAGCTAAGTGTGCAAAAGTTTGATGCAGATTGTACTCACCTTGTGAGGGGCATACCAAACTTCTTGTAGCTCTTCACAAACCTGAAATGACAGGCAGAGAAAAAAGGCACAAGTTGAAAAAAGGTGTTTGACTCGTGCAGTTATTGGTAGATTCATAACCCAAGAGATTAACTACAAAGTTCTCCCTGCGACCTAAGCTGGTAATGCATGCATATTTGGTGCTAAACAACTACCTTAGCACACCAAAAAAAAAATGGATATGATTTTGGAAACGGTCAGATGTTTCAGGTAGCATCCACTACCTTTTGTTAAAAGATTTTTCTTCACATATCAATCACTAGTTCGTACTTATAAACCTGCTTTTATGACAAGTCTCCAGTCTTACTGGAGGTTGTCAGAAAAGGTTTTTAAGGTAGTGGATTCTACCTTTAACATCTGACCATTTCCATAATCATATCCAGTTGCTTGTGTAACTGTTTTTTTTGGCATAAAAACTATTAAATTTTCGATCCACAAACCTCCTGACTTCCGGGTCGGAGAAGCCCTTGATGGTGTCCCTGGGGACGGTCCTGGGACGGCCGCGTTTGCGAGGCTTGGCGTCAGCGTCGCTGTCCGAGTCACTCTCGCTGCTGGACGAGGCGCGTTTCCGCTTCCGCCCGCGACGGGTCGAACCCTCCGATTCACTGCCGTACTGCAGCTGGGGAGGAGGAACGTGCATGTTATACTGTAATCCAGTCTGAAGAACAGTGAAAGCACCACAGATATTTCTTCGGAATCTAAAGGTTTTGGTATGGAATGATATGGCCACGTGACAGTCATTGGGCCAGAGTTCCAATCTGTGATAGTTCTACGACAGAAAAAGTTTTTGAAGACCTAAATCCTTGGTTGATAACTCTGGTACTTGAGGGCATGACTATTTCTTGTTCTTTTCCGAGCTGGTATTAGGTACTTAGTAGTTGGTACGTCCACCAATTTATTAGTCATTTTGTACTTCATGCATTGTCTGGACATTTTTCGTCTGTCTTCCAATGACCACCAATGTTGATCCATACCTTAGTGACAAAGTTCCTCTGCCTGGGTGGTGGATGCATCTCGATGAGTTCCCGTTGTTTCTCCTCGATCTTCAACCACCCTAACCACTAGAATGTCTATCTCACTATGTCTCAAGTCTAAAAAATCCCTACCTTAATGACAAACTTCCTCTGCCTGGGCGGCGGGTGCATCTCGATCAGTTCCCGTTGTTCCTCCTCGATCTTCAACCACCCTAACCACATATTTTTGAAACTTGTGTTTATGTCAGAAGTCTAAAAAATCCCTACCTTAGTGACAAACTTCCTCTGCCTGGGGCATCTCAATCAGTTCCTGCTGTTTCTCCTCTGTCTAGACGAGATTCGAACCTGAAACCTTTAGATCCTAAGCGCAAAACCACCCTACCATAGTGACAAACTTCCTCTGCCTGGGTGGGAGATGCATCTCAATGAATTCCTGCTGTTTCTCCTCTGTCTAGACGAGATTCGAACCCAAAACCTTTAGATCCTAAGCACAAAACCACCCTACCTTAGTGACAAACTTCCTCTGCCTGGGTGGGAGGTGCATCTCGATCAGTTCTCGTTGTTTCTCTTCGTCGTCGACTTTCTGCCGCTCTGCGGCGGGGATGATGTCCTCCCACGTCTTCACGGCCGGCTCCGGAGGGAGCTCCTCTTCCATTGTGGAGAAGTTCGCAACCTTTGGGAACGAAGGAATGGTTTAAAGGCATCTAATACAATTTCAGGGCGGCAAATCAAAAATATTCTGGATGAGGAAATCTGTCTGATACTGACATTTACTGTGATTTCTTAGCACATTTTCTTCATCATTTCATACTTGAAGCATTTGAAGTTGCACCAGAACAAGCTATATGCAGTACCACCCAAAAATTACTAGAACCAGCCTACAATACAAAGTGTGATAAATTATTTGTAAACAGTAGAAAAAAAATAACTGCTCTATATAAGCAGATGACACATGTTACAGTTCATTTCATATAGGGAAATGACTGTTTTGACATCTATTGGTTGCTGTTCTGATGGCAGTCAGAAGACAATTGTGTCTAGTGTCCCTGGTACTGGTAACTGGTATCACCGTGGGAGAGTTGACGTACCTTAAACTGTGAAAGCAGCTCGTGCCCTGCGCCCGCGTCGTCTACCATCTCTGCTGTCTCCGCACGACGCAGGATCTCATCTATGTCCATCTCCTGTTAACAACAACAACTTAATGTTACTACATTATCTATTTGCTTTGTAATAGGAGTGTTTTAACTTCACACTTGAAACAATTCTGTAGTCATACAATTGAAATGCAATCACGGCCTTTATATCATTTATCATTACTGAGATTTATACAATCAGCTGGATGCCCCCATTCAACAGTTGAGTTGATGTCCAAGGGAGCTCAGTCCACAGAGATTATACAAAATCATTCTTTGAATGAAATATACATGTACACACACACACACGCACACACACACAAAAACACTCATATGATTCACACACACACACATTCACACACACACACACACACATTCATTCATTCACACACTCACACACTCATTCACTGTGATACATTGCAGGTATTCTTTGAACAGAGCATACTTGTCTACTGCACGAAAGAAGGCTGACAAACTTACAGGCATCTCTTCTTCCTCCCCTTCGTTTTCCTTGAAGAGGTCCTCAGCACCAAACTTCAGGATAGCAGACAGCTCTTCTTTGTTGAAAGGTGTGGAAGTGCTGGAACAAAAGGAATAATCATTGATGATACCTCTACAACATAATTCCACCGGGTCACACATATCAGTGACCGGGAAAAAACAATCTACAATGCAACGTCAGCCTATAAAATGCACTCTTGCATGTCTTAACTGTGCGTAGGGAGTTCTACACTAGTGATTTCTAAAACACAAGTGGGAGTAGGTATATGTAACATGGCAAATATATGTGTATGGGGGTTAACCATAGTCAAAGTCATACTTTGCACAGTCACTTAGCACAAAGTCATTCTGAAGCATTTTTCCTTTCAGTTTGAAATGTCATGTTTGTGTTAGATATTGTAGTGAAAATCATGTGGCATCACGCACCTTGCAAGCCAATATGCTAGCTGGATTCCAGAACCTTTTCATTTGTTAGTCCATTTCACTTTACATCAATCAACATTTTTCTGTATGTTGAAGAGCAGTGTTCTTTGCATGGTATCAAACTCCATAAGCTGCATACAGCAAAATACCAGGCAACACACAGGCATGCTAAATTCCAACATGTCACCTACCATAGGTTTCCACCACCACTTTGTTTTCAACATGAAAGATGAAGGACAAAACATTTTTTTAAACTACTGTAAGAGGAACTTTGTTTATCCTAATATTTCATTATATTGTATTGAGCTCCGAGAAGAATAGTGCTCACTACAGGAAAAACACTAATGGAGATCTGGATAAAACAAAACCACATTCTGGCATACTCATTTCCATCTGAGTGAAGTGAGGAATGTCGTATAAAGTGCCTTCCCAAGGGCATGAGTTTGGTGACTCGGCAGGATTTGAACCCGGGACCTCCGGGTTCTGAGCCAAATGCTCTGCCGTTATACTACACAAAACCACAAACCGAATGTAGCTTATGTAGTAGCGTGCGTAGTCCAGTGGTTAGCGATCCTGCCTCTGGACTGAGAGGTTGGGAGTTTAAATCCCCGCTGTTGTCGCTCACCCAACATGCACACTACTGTTTAGGGTCGCAGTCCTTAGGACGGGACGTTAAGCCGTGGTCCACTGTTCATTGTGCTTGTCAAAAAGAGCTAGGGGAATTTCCCCGGTACAATGAACCAGTAAATACTGTTACATAGCATCTGTCTTCTCTGTCACGACCAGTGGAAGAGTAGCTCTTCAATGAGCTAAACTGGTTCGAGATCACTTTCACTTTCACAAACTGAACTTGTTCCTCACCTGGAAGGAGCAGATGACTTGGAGAGGACAGTCCGTCCCGACGTGTCCATCCTCTGGATCACCAGGTGGTCCAGAACCATCTTCTTCTTCGCTCTCTCGATGATGTCCTCCTCCACACTGCCTTTGGTCACCAGACGGTAGATGTTCACCTGTGGGGGGACAAAAGGCAAGGGTTAGGAAGGTAAAAAAACAGATTGTGTGCAACTTAGTGTTGTGGTCTGTGTTACACAAGGAAAGGAGGTCTGGAAGACAGCCGCCCACCTATACATGTGGATGTGCAGAAAAGACACACAGGTCTACGAGCAGATGGCATGGGGAAGGCTATGTAAGACAGGAGCTTCTGGGCTGTCGTGTTGTTCAAGTGGCAAAGGAGAACTGGCACTCCACGTAAATCAAGACTTAGTATCATGTTAGGTTAGGAAAATGCCTCAGTTTGGCAGGACTTCACTTGACATTTCAATTAAGTGTCACTAAATTGACAAGGATTGATTTCGACACATATTTTCTTTGGCTACAGATGTTCCCAATTTTCCTAACTTAGAGCTTTTAGCCATCAAGCTTCTAGGGAACAATGAAAGGGTTACTAAATAAATGTGATGTAGCCAGGGTTGTACCTGTTTCCGCTGGCCTATCCTGTGTGCCCTGGACTGTGAGTCCTGGGTTCTAGTCCCAGTGTGTTAACGGCTTAATGCGTAGGACAGTCCAGTAGTACAGGCCGAAGAATTTCAGCACCCTCTGCTACATTTGTTAACAGCATGCATTCCTCTAACCCGGAATCAACACTTAAACGGACAGACCCACTGTACAGAACACAACTTGTATTGACTCTCTCCACATACAATACAGAGTGATCCCTACGGGTACCAGTGCACATGTGCACAGTAACTATGGCGGGAAAGCATAGATCTACCAAAGTGAACAGAAGAAAACCTACCTGTTTCCTCTGGCCTATCCTGTGTGCCCTGGACTGTGGGGCCGGGGTTCTAGTCCCAGTGATCATAAGAAAACCCACCTGTTTCCTCTGGCCTATCCTGTGAGCCCTGGACTGTGGGGCCGGGGTTCTAGTCCCAGTGATCATAAGAAAACCCACCTGTTTCCTCTGGCCTATCCTGTGTGCCCTGGACTGTGGGGCCGGGGTTCTAGTCCCAGTGATCATAAGAAAACCCACCTGTTTCCGCTGGCCTATCCTGTGTGCCCTGGACTGTGCCTGGATGTCGTTCTGCGGGTTCCAGTCGGAGTCGAAGATGATGACGGTGTCGGCCGTGGCCAGGTTGATCCCCAGCCCCCCCGCTCGCGTAGACAGCAGGAAACAGAAGTCCTGAAAGAAGGAGAAAAGAACATTTGAACATCTGTTCTGTCACAAATACACCAAGCCTGAGCATCAGTGTGCAAGCACATCTAACCCTTGGAAGACGAGGACCAATTAACATTAATGTGGAGTGGAGTGTTTGCCGTGCATTGGTAGGCCACGAGTTTGATCTCCAACCCCCCGCTCGTGTAGACAGCAGAAAACAGAAGTCCTGATAGTGTAACAAAAATATATAAAAACCTGTGCTACCACAAATATAAAATAGGAGTAGAACGTTTGCCTTGGATTTGGTAGTTTTATCCCCAGCTGAGGCGTACTAAAGACTTGAAAAATGGCACGTACTGCTTTCCCTGCCTAGCACCCTGCTTTTAGTACAACCCAGATATGCTGGCTGATGGTATCAGAACTTGGGTAGACTCTAGAGCATAGGTCAAATTGTGAAGAGCACACACTAAGCTACTACTTTTCTCTCCTTGCTGGCTCAAGGTATAACCATCAAAGATTTGATGAACAAAGGTGCAATATTGGCCAGAATACAAGAGGCTTTCGACTTTCACAAAACTAGACAGCCAGAGTACGTCGATGAAGGTTAGACATCCAGGTAATACGATTTTTTTTTTTTTTTTTAAACCGAATTTAACATCATTTTTCCCCAACCGGGGGTTAGACGTGCTTGCACCAGGTACAAGTCTTTTTTTTGAAGCAAGATTTTTACGGCTGGATGCTCTTCCTAACGCCAACCCAAACCCTAGTAGGGCTCAGGAACCCTCTAACTGAGGGGGGAAATGTGTGTTAAGTGCCTTTCCCAAGGGCACAACGTCTGGGTGCATGTCCGGACATGTCTGGGTCCAACCCTGGGGATTGAACCTGGGTCTTCTCGCTTGACAGTCGGACGCTCTATCCACTACACCATACAGATATACCACGATATGCCAAAAAACAGTTACTCAAGCAACTGGATATGATTTTGAAAACGTCAGACGTTTCAGCTAGTATCCACTAGCTTTCGTCAGTGACTGAGAGACCAGAGGGGAAAGCAGGTTTATATACACATCCTGTTGATTGATATGCAAATAAAGTGAAGACAAATTTTTGGAAGTCAAAAAAGGAACAAAAGTCAGACAAGTCAAGACAAGACGATGCAAATTAGTCTGAAAGCTCCTGTTATACAGGGCAGGAGCTTAAGTGTTGTCTGTCCTCGGGGCTGGGAGTGCCAAATCCCAAGACAGCCAGAGACTTAGGCAGATCCCAAAGATAGAGGAAGAGTGAGACTAACCTGAGATCCCTCAGCGTTGAAGTGGTCCAACGCTTGTCTTCTAATCTCACCCTTGATGGAACCGTCCAGTCTCTGTAACAAATGGACAGAACAGATAAATACAGACATGCCATGTGATACTGAATGTGCAAACTCTTCTTTTATAATGGTTGTCAGCATATATTTATAGAAAGAGAGAGAGAGAGAGAGAGATATGTAATTGACCTTTCGATATGAGATGCCTAAGGCCATTTGGACGGGTAGCAAGAGTGTAGGCCCTGGACATGGAGAACCTAACCAAAGGAAGCAAGGGCCTAGCTACTCTACTAGACACACAGGCACATGTACCTGTTCCTTACTTGGAATGGGAAGTGTTTCCTAGTGAGGTACTCAGCCAGGATATCCAGGGTTAGAGTTTAAGGGTCAGGGTTATGGTTTAAAGGTCAGTGTTAGGGTTACAGGTCATGAACCTTACCTGGAATGGGAAGTGTCTCATGGTGAGGTACTCTGCCAGGATGTCCAGGGTTACAGTTTAAGGGTCATGGTTAGGGTTTAAGGGTCATGGTTAGGGTTACAGGTCATGAACCTTACCTGGAATGGGAAGTGTCTCATGGTGAGGTACTCTGCCAGGATGTCCAGCATGCGGACCATCTGGGAGAAGATCAGGACGCGGTGTCCGGTGTCTCTCAGCCGAACCAGCAGCTTGTCCAACAGGAATAACTTTCCACTGCTCCTCAGGAGTTGCTGTAAGACATACGAGCATCTTAAGAAAGCAGTCTATGTAAGAAAGCAGTCTATGTAAGAAAGCAGTCTACGTAAGAAAGCAGTCTACAACTTCTCACTGCTTCTCAGGAGTTGCTGCAAGACATACGGGGTGCTTAAGAAAGCAATCAACTTAAGAAAGCAGTCTACGTAAGAAAGCAATCAACTTAAGAAAGCAGTCTACAACTTTCTGCTGCTTCTCAGGAGTTGCTGCAAGACATACGAGCATCTTAAGAAAGCAGTCTACGTAAGAAAGCAGTCTATGTAAGAAAGCAGTCTATGTAAGAAAGCAGTCTACGTAAGAAAGCAGTCTACAACTTCTCACTGCTTCTCAGGAGTTGCTGCAAGACATACGAGCATCTTAAAAAAGCAGTCTACGTAAGAAAGCAGTCTACGTAAGAAAGCAGTCTACGTAAGAAAGCAGTCTACGTAAGAAAGCAGTCTACAACTTCTCACTGCTTCTCAGGAGTTGCTGTAAGACATACGAGCATCTTAAGAAAGCAGTCTACGTAAGAAAGCAGTCTATGTAAGAAAGCAGTCTACGTAAGAAAGCAGTCTACGTAAGAAAGCAGTCTACAACTTTCTGCTGCTTCTCAGGAGTTGCTGCAAGACATACAGGGAGCTTAAGAAAGCAGTTTCCTCAAGTAAACACAATGGCTTGTCCATTAGGAAATTCTCGTATATGACTTGGGTTTATATGACAAACTTTATTGGGATCCACACTTAGCTTTTAAAAATGAAGCTAATCTTCCTGCGGTCCTTCAAGACACACATGGCAAAACATAAATACATTGGCAATTACATATTAACACAGCTTAAGATAAGGACTATTTTAGCCATAGCCAATGTTTTAGGGCTGATGCAAGGTAGGATTCTACCAAGGTTTTTACTAACCGACGGAGGCCACATACTAACCGTGACGAGGCTCTGTCCGGGTGGTGGGTCCTCCGGGGGTCTGACCAGGAAGGAGTGGTTACAGCACTTCTTCTATCAATTTTGTATAGGACTGTTTAGAGCACAGGAGACATACTAACCGTGACGAGGCTCTGTCCAGGCGGGGGGTCCTCCGGGGGTCTGACCAGGAAGGAGTGGTTACAGCACTTCTTCAGCTCCATCATGATGTTCAGGAAACTGCTGGTGTTCCCCTTCATCCCCTTCGTCAGGGCCTTGTAGTTCTTCGTCAGAATCCACCTGAAGGTAACAAACGTTTCAGTTCAGTTCAGTTTATTACGATACCCTTTAGCCCATTACGGCTAATCTTCCAGGGTTCATTACACATTACACACACAGTACAAATATACACATGACTACAAATTTGCATACACGTTGAGGTCACACGTCAGATAAGGTACTAATTAAAGCTAAAATCATTGAACAAGCAAATTATCGGCTAAGTATAAAACCAATATTATCATTACTAAAAGATTTCAATATAACAACTATCATCATAATTAAAACCATTAAGTTGCATACATATACAATTGATTGATCAATCTCTTCAACCGCCTCTCATCGGGTACAGCCTTAACCTCATTTGGTAGTGCACTCCACAGCTTAACACATCTGTAGGTAAACATCTCCTTTCCACTGTTGTTCTTAGGTTTCGCTAATGAATAAAATTGTATACTGACTGTCTGTGACATACTGTAAACTTTCATGATCATTAATTTTGTTCATGAACTTTGAAGACTGCAAAAATTTCCATTTGCCTTATACATGTACATGTACCACGAAACGAAACCACACAGCCTTGTAGTTCTTTGCCAGAATCCACCTACAGGTAACTTACAGACGTTTGTGACACACTGGAAACTTTCATTATCATTTGTTCATGGACTTTAAAGACTGCAAAAATTTCTGTTTGCCTCATACATGTACCACGAAACGAAACCACACAGCCTTGTAGTTCTTTGTCAGAATCCACCTGCAGGGTACAAACGTTTGTGACATACTGTAAACTTTCATTATTATTTGTTCATGAACTCTAAAGACTGCAAAAATTTCCTTTTGCCTCATGAAAGTACCACGAAACGAAACTACACAGCCTTGTAGTTCTTCCTCAGAATCCACCTGGGGGGAACATACAGTGCTTTTCACCATACTGTTAACTTTAAAGGTATCCAAAGCAATGGCAAAAGACAAAAATAAGCCTGATAAGGAAATCTATCTGATCTTAACATTTACTGCCACTTCCTAGCACATTTTTGTAATCATATCATACTTTAAGTGTTTGGAATAGCCCAAACACAAGCTACATAATTTATATGTATGTGAGGAAAACGTATTTTTTGGGTATTGCCCGTAAATAGCTAGGCTTGAACCTGTCTAGGATGCAAAACAGGCAACCATTTTCCATTAGTGATTGTTGCCTCACAGGCATCAGTAAACTTTGGGATCAGACTTGTTCAGACCTTGTGGAAGGTTTTCTCACCTGTAGAACTGCTTCTGTATGGCCGACATCTCCACCCTGAGGATCTGTTCCACCTTGGCAGGGGTAGGGTTAAAGTTAAGGTGCAGGGAGAGGGTTAAGACCTAATACAGAAGGTTTCTGTACCTATAAGACCTTGTAGAAGGTTTCCTTACCTGTAAAACTGTTTCTGTATGGCCGACATCTCCCCCCTGAGGATTCGCTCCACCTTAATAGGGTTAGGGTTAAAGTTATGCAGCAGGGAGAGGGTTAAGAGACTTGTTCAGACCTTGTGGAAGGTTTCCTTACCTGTAAAACTGTTTCTGTATAGCCGACATCTCGACCCTGAGGATTTGCTCCACCTTGGCGGGGAGCGACTTCTCCACGTCTTTCTTGACCCTCCTGAGGAGGAAGGGCTCCAGCTCCTTGTGCAGGCCAGCGTAACCGTTCTTGTCGGCGTTCTGATGCTCATCCTCAAACTCTTCCCACTTCAGGAACCTGCAACAGGAGGGTAAAACATTACAGTGACATCTAAGTGGTCCAGGCTGTAGAACCTAAAGGTTGTGGGTTTGAATTCCTAGCAGACCACAATGTTGTGCCCTTGGGTAAGGCACTTTACACCTATTTTTTTTCCCTACAAGACCAACTCACAATCCATCAATAGAAGATTAACACCAGAATCTGTAACAGAAGGAATTTGCAATGGACGGGACAACTCGATGCCAAGAATATCCTATGTACTATTGTACATTTAATGTACAAAAATACCTACAAAAATATTTGGGTGCACCAGTGCACTCACGAAAAAATGGGTGCACAGCTCCAATTTTAGGTGCACTTACAATGTAGGTGCACATGCATCCAGTATTTCGAGCCCTGAAACTGCACGCTGAATAAAGACAGAAATACAGATGACCTACCTGGCAGGCATGATGAAGAAGAGCAGAGCCCACAGCTCCTTGAGAGAGTTCTGTAGCGGCGTGCCCGTGATCAGCAGTCTGTGGTTGGAGTCGAAGCCCTTCAGGGTTTTGTACAGGAGAGAGTCGTCGTTTTTCAGTCTGTGGGCCTCATCCACAACTAGACAGGCCCACTCTACTCCACCCAGGAATGACTGCAATAATAAAACAAATAATAATCAATAAACAACAAATAGCAGGACAGAGTCGTCGTTTTTCAGTCTGTGGGCCTCATCCACAACCAGACAGGCCCACTCGACTCCGCCTAGGAATGACTGCAATAATAAAACAAATAATAATCAACAAACAACAAATAGCAGGACAGAGTCGTCGTTTCTCAGTCTGTGAGCCTCGTCCACAACTAGACACGCCCACTCGACTCCGCCTAGGAATGACTGCAATAATAAAACAAATAATAATCAATAAACAACAAATAGCAGGACAGAGTCGTCGTTTCTCAGTCTGTGGGCCTCGTCCACAACTAGACACGCCCACTCTACTCCGCCTAGGAATGACTGCAATAAACAATAATCAACAATTGACAATCAACAAACCATTTAGCATGAAAGTTCAGCTGAGTTGGTAATTTAGGTGGTGAAAATTTGAATTGGAGAACAGTTTAATTTTTCACTAACTTAACAAACCATTCAAACCAGTACTTTACAACAGAGATGGCAGCACAAACTTTGAGTGCCTCGAGTCAAGAGTTCTATCTGTGATAACATGATGTTACAGAAGCGGTGGATTGCTCATTTCATGACAAAGACTGTCCTAGTGCCGAAAATTTGTTGGGTAAGTCCAATTTCTTGTGTTGGAAATTACAGTTCAACCTTGCTACAGGATAAAAAAAAGGCTTACCTTATCCTTGAGAAGGATCTCGTATGTGGTCAGCAAACAGTTGAACTTGAGCTTCTTGTTTCCGGGGTGACACCATTCATATTCCCTGATCTGAAACAAGCGATAACACGTGATTGCAGTATCCAGTATTTGATTATACTGATGGCAAGTGTGATTTGGTGAAGAAGCCCCATCAAGGCAATGACATGTATATTCAGAGCTTGAAACGCTTTGTTCTGCATATCTGCAATGGTGTAGATAATTTGAAAAAATTTGAAAACATTGAAAATTTTACCTGCACCACTCAGATTTAGGAAGTACAGGATCACACTAAAAACAGTTGTGTTCATAAGCCATTGTTGTTATTTCTTTTACAATTCATAGTTGACAAAGGTGAACACAGCATATAGGTAGACATCAGAAATACCTGCACAGCCCCAATTTTATGTATTACTGAACAATCCCGCATATGCAGGTACTAGTATTTCAAGCCCTGTGGTCCCACCTTGTTCCTGCTCATAACGTCTCCAAGGTAGATAATGACGTTCATGTCGGGAGCCCAGTTGTTAAACTCTCGCTGCCAGGCTGCCATGGTCGACAGGGGCACCACCAGCAGAAACGGGCCGTACAACGCGTGGGTGTTGAACAGGTAGGACAGGAACGATATCGTCTGGATGGTTTTCCCCAAGCCCATCTCGTCTGCAAGGATTACACTGTTGTTCCTGGGGATTGTAGAGAAGATGGTAAGAGTTAAAATCCTTCCCAGAAGCATTTCGGTATATAGGGGTAGTGCCCAGCTCCATTTCTTTAGCCTTTGGGTTGCACAAGGCCATGACAGCAGGGGAAAAGCAGTCTGTGCCATTTTTCAAGTCTTTGGAATGATGGTGCAAGGTTTGAACCCAGACCAATCGAATGCAAGGAAAAGACTATACCCCCTTGGCCATTGTACCAGTTCAAGCAAGAACGCATGACAAAATAAAGTACACATCAAGTAAATGTATCTTAACCCTTGTCCTGCTGGCATTCCTGGCACAATACTTTTCAATAATTTCATGTCTTAATTAGATCATAGACCCCCAAACTTTTTTGCCCTGCAGTGGCATAGTTACTTCCGCCTTCGTTGAATTTTGCTGTCACAGTGGTGTGATGCGTTGCACGAGAAATACCCCCAAATCGTACCTATACAGGGTGTTATATAGATGGTACTGTATGTGCAGAACAACAATTGTTGTGCTCCGCAGGACAAGGGTTAAGAGTGTATGTTAGGCCTTGCTGATGGAAACTGAGAAAGTCTGCGTACTTGCACCAGGAGTGAGCGAGCCAGTTGAGTCCGTCCAGCTGGTAGTCTCTCAGCTCCAGCTTGTCCGAGCCTCCAAGGTACAGCGGCTGCTTCTTCAGCGCTACAAACCTCGGCCTCTGCTTCAGAACCTGGCAAAAAAAACGCAAAGAAGTATATAAGCTGGGACAAAATCTGTATCTCAAAGCATATGAACCAAACTTTGTTGTTTGATGAACATGTCAGCGACATTTGTTGAACAAAGTCAAAGAAATTTCTGCTATTTATGGCCCACTTGCATTTTCAGAAAATTAATACTTCTCAAATTGACTTTTTGAAAAGGCATTCTATTTACGAAGAGCTGTTGCAGACACACTGGATTACGATTCAGAGCTGTGGTGGTTTTGCTTTTTTTTCTCTTAACACAGGGATTTTGCAGGGTGTTTTTCAAAATGCATCTATCGTTTTATCAAAAATGTATGTAAAGCAAGTGTATGATAATAATGAGAACAAACGGACCTTTAATAGAGGAGGGCTTTAAAACATTTTTTTGCAGAAAACACACAATGCCTGCAATAGTTCCTCCTACCTTGGCGGTCATTTTGCCGGGGATTTTCTGGGACTTGTTCCTGGCGTTGTATCCGTCGACGGCGTCGGGGAAGTACATGGAGATGAGCTCGCCGTCTTCCCACGAGCACTCGGAGTACGGCAGACCCTGCCACTTCACCAGGTAGTCCGGGAAACCTGACGCCGAGTTCTTGGCAGGCTGCTGAGCTGAGGGGGTGGAAAAGAAAGAAAAGTGTGTTTGTGAGACAGCAAGCAATGTATCCGTGAATAGTTTCATCAGGTTGGTAAGTCACTGAGTAAAGAGACTCTTTCTACACAACCAAGTTTGGGACCACATTGTTGATACAGTTCCCTGTATGTACATGTGTAGATATGTAACTTTTACGTTTGGGAACGCATCTATGGCAGCGACACCTGTGCTGCAGTGCAATGTGAACCAGTCAGAATTGTCCCGAGGAAGGTGACAGATGGTCACCGAAATGTCGGTAGTGAATAAAACACTTGGATGTGTAATAAAAAAAGAGTCTCTTTACTCAGCAACAAATTGGACATCCATGCAAAAATATCAGGCAGCAAGGTTTGGTGCAACTCTACACGAGTGTCAGCTACGGAACAGCGTAGTACGTGGACCAAGAGTGGAACAGAGCTGCCATTAGCTGCAATCTTTCGTTTTCTAGAGTAGGTTTTGTGAAATTTGGGCCATCTACTTCATTTTGTACAGATATTTTCACTGTAAGTGCAATGACAGCTCTGGAGTGACAATACCTACAAACTGTTGTCTTTCTTTTCCTTTTCTTGCAATTGTTTCGTGAAATTTGGGCTGTCTACATGTACTTCATTTTTGTACGGAAATTTTCACTGTAAGTGCAATGACAGCTCTGGAGTGACAATACCTACAAACTGTTGTCTTTCTTTTCACGTCTTTGCACCTGTTTTGTGAAATTTGCGCCATCTACTTTTGTTTTTCTGTAAACGGCTTGTTGGAAGTTCTCTCCGTAAAACCAATGTAATGACAGCTCTGATGTAGTGACAATGCCTACATGTAAGACGGAGCTCCTAGCAGTAGTAGTACATGTGCATGCTCTTCACAATGATCATGCATTACAGAAAGGCTTTCAGCATACAAAAACTGAAGCACAACCACCAGCAAATGTAGTATAATGCTTCACAGTTGTTTTTTTTTCAAGATCCAGTACAAAGCGGATGTGCATACACTGCTGACAAGACAAAGCTGATTTGGGATAAGCGTGCAGCATCCACTCAGCATACAAACGTGTATCTACAAAATTTATTTTCTTCTCTGACCAAAAAGGTACTGAGTTTTCCAATCGTACTCCAGTCATAATTCTTCAATACTTCAAGACCATTTCTGAAAAACGGCTAACAACCTTGCATTCATAATATCTTTGCACAGACACGAGGGGGGGGGCATAAAAACGTTTCATTTCTTGTCATGGCATGTGTGCATTGTTGTATGCCAGTTTCCAACTGCATACAAAATGAAAACAAAAGATTCACATTAGTCAAGACCCTAGAAACAGAAAGAAAGTCATTATAGTCACCCCTTTCCACTATCGGTAGCAACCCCTGAGCAACCAATGATTTCACAAATCTCTGAACAAATTTTCTGATGTTTTGTATGTTTCTCTTGTCTATTAAATCATAACTTTAGATCTTCCAACTTTAAAATCAAGTTTCACACAAATTTCATTTTGGACGCTCAGCAATTGCAGCTTAGTTGAAAGGGGTTTGAACGATCTGTAACTAACAGAAACATGACAAGAAATGAATCATTTTTATGCTTCGGTGGTACATTATAGCAGCCACACATTCACACATGACAGCGTCAAGGACGAAAGCTTAGCGGAAAGACAGAGTGAGAGAGAGAGAAAGAGAGAGAAGCTCCCCTACCAGGAGCTTCTTCGTTTCGCGATACTCTCCCACCTGAGGTCTTGCTCCTGTGGGCTGAAAAAGCAACACAGGTACCGTAAATTCACTTTTTATTTTCGCGGGGACTTCATTTTGGTGGAAAGGCGGTTTGGTCTTCGCCATGTTTTTTTTTAAGGTCCTGGTTGGAATGATTCTGTAGTGCTTTGAAATGACATATTAGCTGTCACGATTTTGCTGTGAAGTCATCACGAAAATAGAACAACAAATGTACACACGTTATGTGTTATGTTGCTTTTTTATAAACTGAAACCCAATAAACATGTATGCTATGTGTCCGCATTAAACCAAGTTTTGATTATTCATTTTGTTTGGCTCAACTCTGGTGATATAGAACTCTGTGTGCTAGCCTGGTTATATGTACAATGTACGTACATAACGATTGTGTAATGAGAATAAGTTTGTTCAAAGTTTGAAGTGTGCATGCAAATTGTGATGCATGTGGATAATATATCTAGTTGAAGGCCCCAGGCAGTACATAATTAAATGGCAAACAGTCTTCAACTTTGACATACAAATTTCCTGTAAGACCACAGCAAGTAAATTTTATGGATGACATCCTCTGCAGACTTCAAATCTAATGCGAGCGGGCGAAAAAAAAAAAACAAGGCAGGCCGAAAAAAACAAGGTTCCTACATGTTAACATTTTGACTCAATCATTGTACAAATGGCTTTTATTCAGTGGGAACATCACATATACACAGCCAGCATCACTGCATCAAAGTAAGAAACAGAGCCTTTTCTTGTCTCCTCTCTTAATAGTTATCTGCCATCCATCTTCCGGCATAGCGACAGATATCTTTGCCCATTTTCGGCATGTTAATCACTGTCAGAAGGCAACAAAATTTTGTTTTCTTTTTTCCCAAAGTCAGGCAAAAATTAATGTGCACGCTGATGTCATCCATAAAAATTACTTGCTGTGGCCTAATGCATCACACAGTGCATGCACACTTTGTACTATGTCTGCAGCATTTAAATGCTACTGATCATCCTTTAAATACATTGTTAACATCAGAACATAAAAAAATGCATAAAATTGCACGTCAAACGTACAAGACACAGCCAAACCTGACCAAGAAGACCACTTGGGGGGCTGATAAAATGTGGTCTATGTGAACAGGTGGTTGCTATAGACAGGATTCTCGATGCTTGTATAAATGATCTAGAGGTGGCAACATTGGTCCTTTTGTAGAGGTTGGAGTGGTGATCTGTCAAATTTTCCTGAGCCAGCAGCTTCAGAAAAGCGTTTCCTTGTAGATTCTGAGGTGGTGTAGACCTGATGGCAATGTTTGGTGGTATAGATTGATGAAATTGGTAGGAAGCCGACAAGCCTAAATAAACGCACCTGCCATTTTGGGCGATAGCATCCAAAAATCCTTGCCCAGTATCCAGTAGTCACTTGGATAGGTTTGACTGTACTTATATACAAATAGCATACAATATGATACAGGAAAGGGTATTAGAATGAGATGTGATCCAAGCTTTTGTCAGTGTTACTGAGAGAAGTTTGTGAGTTTGAGTGAAAGGGGCAAACCTTGCCAAACGAAGAGTCCACACGTTGGGTTTGGGTCGGGGTATGGTGGGGACAAACACTTTGGCTGTAATCCTGGTACCACAGAACATGGGAGGGGGGCATGCAGCAATAATAATAACTTGCAGCAGCAAAAAAGTAAAGTGCCAACTAAACATACATTTTCTTTATCTTGCAGCATTTTTAAAAAGCACAGCCATTCACTTAAGTGAGGACTGAGCTACAGTGTGCCCTCTGGTTCACTACCAAGCACTGCACTTATGCCAGCAAATAGATAGAAGGAAGTTGCCATTTCTTCTCTACGTGCAAAGATGCATAGTGGTGCAGTATTCTGCTGTTTATAGCTTGAACTGAAGCCAGACCACATGCAACAGTGCCTGCTTGGGTTTAAGGCAGACACACACACACAGAACCGTGTATGGTGAGAATTATGCATAAAATGATAAATAAAAAGTGCCTTACGACCATTGAGGTCAACTGGTGGGGGAAACCCAAAATCAAAACAGTTATACCTCTATGTTCCAACAACCCTAACCCTTAGTCAAAACTGAAACAGATTTGGACTGTAATTTCCTATACACGAAATTGGAAAATTCAATGGCAAGTCCAATTTACAGTAAGTTCAAACCTGTTTAAGAATGACTTCTATCAACACAGCAGAACAAATGCAGAACATAGGGGTTTCGGAACATAGAGGTGTCTCAAATCCAAACAAGGCTGTGCTAGAACTGGTGCTAACTGAGGAAAATGCCTATTTAAGTGATTGCGTCTGTGGCTATTGTTGCTCACAACAGCACGATAAAAAAAAACAAGTGCAGTGGCAGTGGCACGTGACAACACAGTACAGACTTCCCCATGTTTGTGGTACCGGGAGGAACAGGCCAAGAGTGGTTTGTCCGCCCTCGTACGCCCGTAACGGAGCGCGGGTGACTTACATGGCGGGCCGGCTAGCTCATGCTGGGGACTGGCGGGGTACGCCATACCTATGATTCTCTCAACCTGCTGGTAGGCACTCAGGAGGTCTTCGTTCATCTCTGACTGGCACTCAAGGTACTCCAGGTCTTCTGGGGACGCCTGGTCTTTCCTGAGAAAAGAAACGTAAGTTAGATGGAGATACATATGCTACAGAGACGGACAGACTTAGCTACACATGATATCAGAGTTCTAGCTGGCATAGTTTGAGCTCAGGAGGTCTTCATTCATCTCTGACTGGCACTCCAGGTACTCCAGGTCTTCTGGGGGTGCCTGGTCTTTCCTGGGGATGAGAGAGACAAGCAGACTTAGCTACATGTGGTACTGGTGTTGTAGCTGGCAGAGTTTCAGCTCAGGTGGTTTTCATTCATCTCTGACTGGCACTCCACGTACTCCAGGTCTTATGGGCATGCCTGGTCTTTCCTGGGGATAACATAGTTAGATTGAGCTACACATCGCTACAGAACAAAGGAGTTAACCAATAAAACACCATTGAGTGTAACACACCGGTTCGTGTAGTAAGTACAAGCTGAATAAGACTGGACTGTAAGGTTTGATCCATGCACATAAGTAGGGACACCTATTCTTTCCGTAAGTGGGGTAGGTTCTGTAATGTGCTGCAGGGCTTCTGTCCCATTTAGGACAATACTAACCAAATCATCTGGCATATTCTGACTGTCAGCTATAGTCTATTTCATGGAATCCAGTATCAGAGACAAGTTTCAAGTTTATTCAAGTTTTACCAGGGAATACCTCAGATCCGTTTAGACTTTCTTTCGTTTTTTTTTAATGATATGAAAAAAAGTGTTTTGTTTGTTTATTTATTTGCATATAATCAAAGAGAAGAACAATAAAATGAACATATTACAGTAAGTGACAAAGTGTCAAAAGTGACATTGTAAAGCCTACCACTGTTGCAGGTCGTTCTTCTTCTTCATGTAGTTCTCGAGTTTCTTCATGCCCTTGACCTTCTGCTCGGCCAGGGTCGCCTCGCTCTCCCAGGTGTTGTGCAGGTGAGACCAGTCCTTCCACTTGATGAGGTACTGTGTCTCCGTCTCGTCCGTCTCCGGGTCAGGAGGCTTGTTGGCGGCCGCAGCGTCCGCCGCATACATCGTAGTTATTGCACCAGTGCCTGCACACAAAAAAAGGAAGAAAAAAAATTTAGAATTAATTTGCAATGAAGGCAAAAACCCTATCCTCAGAAGTCATAAAAGCCCTCTCTTCAGACTTGAGAGTTGATAGTTCTAAGCATTTCTGCTTTTTGCCCAATGTTCAATATGAAATAAGCAAGCCAGTGCGCACACAAATCTCAAGTTATGTCCAATTCTCTGTGTTGACATTAGCACTTCAGAATGACACAAATCAAGTGCTGTCTGCACATTACCTTGGCTAGATTGCATCTGCCCCCTTAGAGGTCTTCTAGGGCAGTTTTGGCTGCACATAGGGATATAGATGTGAAACCTGCATTGTTGGTTCCATACAAACTGTAGATTATTGTTGCTCGGATAGTGGAAGGAAAGTGATCTGTACTTACTCCCTTTCTTGCCTGTCCTGTGGTTGAGAACCCTCTCCATTGCCTCAGCATCATCGTAGAAATAATAAAATCAAGATACAGACGTAGTGTTCAAGTCTACAGTACATAGAAGGTGTTGTTCTTGCTGTACTTACTCCCTTTCTTGCCTGTCCTGTGGTTGAGAACTCTCTCGATTGCCTCAGCATCATCGTTCTCCTCCTCTTTTGTAGCGATCTCCATCAGGTCATCCGAGTCCGTCGCATCCGGACTCTCCTCTTTGTAACTGGAACAACCAGAAAAGTTTAGTGCTTTGGTAATTTGTCTTAAGGTTGGAAAAACATGAAGAAATTTGCAACAGATATTCCTCACATACATAAACATATCTAAGGAGTGATATATACATCCATCTGTCACATTTTTATTGTATTTGCACTCGACTGGGATGAGGACAAAAAGGGTAAAGCAGTCATCCTCAACTCAAGTGCAAGCATATTGCCTTTTTGTCTAGTCAGTGGTAGCGTGATGCAGCTTATGTTTTCCACCAAGCATACTGGTCACCCCTACTCTTCTCTCAAGTGTGTTGGGTTCTTTTAAGTGACACTTCCTCATACATGGGCCACATCACCATCCGAAATGACATAGGATGTTGGGTGATAATGAGAGCATTTTTATCTGTATTGGTATAGCCGGTATAACTTGGCGAAACACACCAGCTTTGCAGGCACAGCGCGCGGCAGCTGGCTACATCATAATACCGTAAACTTGTTACACGCAACATTTAAACATCTAATTCCAAACACTGTTTAAAGCTGTTTAAAGCTATCTAGTGCCCCCAGTGTACAATATGGATGAGTTTCTGTTGTGTACCTGACGTTTGCAGCAGCTTTTCTCCTGGACAGTCTCTTCTGTTCCCGCTCGCTCAGACTTCCCGAGCGCTTCCGACCCTGATTGTTGGCAGCTGACTTCCCCTTGATGGGGGCTTTACCTGAAGAACACAGGCACAAAAGTCAGGACATTAACCTTTAGCACACTGAAGGAGCAATCTGGGTACCAATTCTATATTGGTTAGGTAGCAGAAAGAAGGTTCATGTCTGGCTCCACCTAATGTATAAACATCCAGTATCTTACAATGAATTACAGTCATTAAAGTATTAAGTATATAATCACGACACTAACAAATTGCGAAGGGCCATGGAGGACCAAGTGCTGGACTAAGTGTTAAGTATAAAAAATACATTTCTGCAATGTATGTATATACTGTAAACATGTTGTATGTAATGTATGTTTTCCAGGGCCCTACAGTAAAGCTGTGTCATACCATTGAGATGGGCCACCTTTTTAAATAAATCAGAAATACATAAAATCCACAGTTTACCTCTGACTCTGGCCTGTGGCCTGGTGGCTGGTCTGGCTGCAGGTTTGGCCCTTCTTTTCACTGTGTAGTCATCACTGCTGCCCGAGTCATTGTCATCATCATCATCGCTGTCACTGTTGTCTGCCTCCCAGTTTTCACTTCTGAGAGAGGAAAAGAAAAACAATTTTCTTCAACGAATGCGCTTAGTGCAAGGCCAAGAGACTAGTTATAGCTATTGAAGGGCAGCTCTAATTACAAACTAAACCTGAGTGTTTAACGTTTTGTTACAGATTTGAACTGTGAGTGTTTAAACAAATCTGTGTTTTCGTAGCACATCACAGTTTCCCCCAGACGCCAGGGACCTTGGAGCAGTAGAAACATATGATTACAAAAGACAGGACTTCTTTAAACTTAGCAAAGTCTGGCGCCATGAACTGTGCAACATTTAGGACTTGATGGAAGGGAGAAAGGGCCAGCTCCTGGCCTGAGCACATAGGCAGGCTACTGTTCACACTTACGATTTCCGTTTTCTTCTGGATTTCGCTGAGATGTTTTTTCTTCTTTTGCGGTGATCTTCATCATCATCTTCATCATTTTCTTCGTCAGACTCCTGCATTTGACAGTGAGAGAAAACACAGATTAACCTGCTAAGGTAGCTGTTGGGTATTAAAGTTGTATTGGTTATATATAGAGTTAGGCAGCAGGGAGAAGGTTAACATACGGTGTTGTCATTGACATCCAAGTCAATATTTCAGAAGGTTATTAACCATCAGCATGCTACAGTGACCAGTAGGCACTGAAGTTGTGTTGGTTAAGGGGTTAGGTGGCAGGAAGAAGGTTAACATACGGGTGTTGTCATTGACATCCAAGTCAATATTTCAGAAGGGATTGTTAACCTTCAGTCTGCTATGGTAGGTGTATAGCACCAAACTTTTATTGGTTATGTGGTTAGACAGCAGGGAGAAGGTTAACACACTGTGTTGTCATTGACATCCAAATAAAGGCTTCAGCAAAAATATTAAAACTTTGTAGATCCTTCCAACTCGTTAAAATGTAAGATCCATTCAAGACATATTACATCCAAAAGTAAAACATCCAAAATGCTGCACATTTACATACAAAAAGTCGTGGTTATGCCAACAAGACTTAATCATTCAAAACCATGGATGAGCACTTTTTGTATAACAACCCTATGATAATCCAACCAATGATTTATTCATTATATTTAATCATTTAAACGTTTTGGGTAATCAGCAATATAAGACAAGCCAAACTGGATAATTTTTTTTAGGAGTCAAGACATTTCAGACAGTATTTTCTATCTTTTAATCAATGTAAGGCCACACCAATTTAATTTCTTGGTTAACGGATTCGCCGCTTCATTTTTTTCTGATTTGCAAATAAAAATAAAAATTCAGAATCAACTGCAAAATGCTCATATTTTGCCCTGAACAGTTGAAAACAGTCCTTTTCTTCCTAGTTGTTACAGTTATTCAATCTTTCAATGCAGGGGTATCATTAAAAGTTCAAAATTCATTTAGATTTTGAACCAGCCAGGTGTGTTGACTTCATGGCTCCTATCGTACCATTTTGGGCCATAATAGGATTCCTAGGCCTGTTTTTGTTTTTTTTCGCCCGCCCGCTTCATTATTTTTCTAGAAAAATCCGTTAACCAAGAAATTAAATTAGTGTGGCCTAATCTGTATACAAATGAAATGAAATGTGTCTGTATTATTCTATGGAACTTTTGGAATCCCATGTGATACATATAGAATACAACACCTGGTTTTCCGCATCGCCCGAGGTATCGGCCTGAGGGTGCTGAGGAATACACCGTGTTGTATTTTATTTATTGTCATTTGTACATTTTATTTATGTCATACCCACCAAAGAAAACGCGCCTTTCAATGCAAGATGAGCCAAAAGTTGGTGCCACTAAACCCTAAAATGCAACAATATCAATTCTAACATCCAGATTCTGTATTCAAATTTTCAAAAGCGGCAAACGCAGTTAGGGCAAAACCTGTTTGAATCGTTCTATGGAAGCCATGGAAGCCCGGGCCGTACTGTACAGTACGGACCGGTCCGGAACCCATTATCAAACGTTATCGCGGCCCGGGTATGATATAAAACTAGTTATCACACTGGCCTGAACACTTGTATCAAACACTACTGCATGACAAAAAAAATGTGTTTCTAAATGGATGTGTAAATGAAATGAGGAAAGTCAGGCTACTGTGTGTGTGATCACTCAAAAGAAAATGAATTCCTTGTGTGACCGACAGTACCTCCATGCCTACATTATATCTGCTGGGTTCTTTCTTGGCTCGGCTGGATCTTCTCACACCATAGACATCCGGGTACTCCTCCCACATCTGGTAAACACAAACATAAACAAAGCTTAGACAAACATAAACAAAGATTAGATAAACATACACAATGACTGGATCAGTAAAATAAGTTTTATATGTATAGTGTGAATAGTTTTAGTTTTACAAATCGCATTTTCAACAGTGTCGCTTTCAATTCATTACTTTAAGGTTTAAAAACTTTAAAATCCTATATCATATTTGGGAAATTAGCGCCAAAGGAAAGGTTCTAACGTAACCATTGACCAGTGTTTCAGCCAGCATTAGTCTTTCTGTCATTGAATGAGATTTTGCCACGCAGGACAGGCAAAAACTCTGTCCAATCCATTGTTTTGGTCAGACAAAAATTGGCATGTAAAGATATAGAAAGAGATGCCATTAAACTTTGAATAGTCAAATTTGCCCCATGAAATGCTAAAAAAAACATTTTTCAGAGGGTCAAGATTTCAAAATTTCCTAGGGGAACAAAACAGGGATGGCAGAAAAAAAATTCAGGCTACCTAGTACGCTGCTCTAACATTACCTACGACAGTTTAGAAGCGACAGTGTGTGAGCTGCAACCTTCCCACCTGTTTGAGATCAGCCAGTCTCTCCTTCTTGGGCAGTTTTGACAGTATTTGAGAAGAAAAGGTTGCAGCATACTCTCCAAGCAGAGGGTTGGGGTTATTTTTGCCGTGTTTTAGGCTTTTTTTATCGGGGTTTCTCTTTTGCATTGGAATTTTTTTGGGGGTGAAAAGAGAAACCCTGATAAAAGAACACGCCAAAAATAACCCCAATCACAAACCTCTGCTTGGAGAGTAGTGCAAGCATAACCCGAGACAATAGAAAAGTAGCCAGTAAGATTCCCACCTGTTTGAGATCAGCCAGTCTCTCCTTCTTGGGCAGTTTGCCTGCTTGGTCCTTGCTGTCTGTGGCCGGGTCGTTCGACTCATCCCCATCCTCCTGAAGATGATGATGAAATGGTTTATTGTGAATAAACATATACTTCTTTTAACCTCCCAAAACCCACTAATTTTAGAAAAGGTGGGACATTACGTCTTCCATGATCTAAAAAAGAGAAGTCAGACCCCTTAGACATAGTTTTAGACATAGCTATAGCTCTAGACAACTACCTTTTATCATGTAGATTTTAGTTATTTTATACTACGTTTCATTGTTCTGTTATGTTTGTAATCTGCAATTAGCCCCCCCGGCATGAATTTGCGATTAATTTCTTCTTAATAAAAACACTGGCAGCCTTACATAGGCTGAATTGTGGTTATCTACATTGTAAGACTCAAATTGACAACATAGTAGAAAATTCTTATCACACATGGATTATAACAGACGGAAGGCGGGTACAATCAGTCAATATAAAATTCCATACATTTTAAAATCAATTGGTGATTATATTCTAACAAGGTTTTGCTCATGAATAAAATATTCTGTAATATACATGGAGGCCGCACAAATATTTACCTGCTCTTCCCCATCCTCCTCCGCTTTCGCGCTCTCGTTTCCGGATTCGCTCGCGGAGCTGGATCCCGATCCAGATCCGGATCCCGACTTGGACTCGGACTCTGATTGGCTGCCAGAGTCGGAGCTGCTTCCTGATTGGCTGCTGGAGCTGGAGCCGGATTTTGATTGGTCCTCATCGTTGCTGTCCTCTGACCCAGAGTTGCTCTCATCTGAGCTGTAAAAAATCAGAGAGGAGAAAATTTTTCAAAATTGAATATACAAAAGCAATTTGAACACTAAATCTGAACTCAAGTTTAGCCTCTGTCACCCATCAAAATGTAAAAGTGCAAAATAAATACATTAAAAATGCACAAATTTGTCAGAAATGCAGCTACCCTCTCATTGGTGGCCGAACTACTCATTGCCATGCTCTCATTGGCTGAATTGCTAACTAAGTGTAATCGGCATTCAGAATCAGTCAATTAAGATAACCTTTTTTCAACAAAAGTATGGTATGTTTAAAAACTAAGAATTCCTAATAGTTAATCTACAATTATCTTTAAAAGTCTAATAAGAAACACATCAGTTTGGACAAAACGTTAGAAAAGGATGTAATTGTACAAGGTACACTGAGACCAGCTCATCCCTTTTCCACTGATACCAAACACTACACCAGGTACAGTATACAACATCGATACTGCCACATGCTATCCTTCACTTCCACATTTCTTACCATTTAGTCATCTTTCTAGCAGCATGGAAAGTGAAGAATAAGAAGAGAGTTACTTAAAGGGCATTCAACACCACTTCAATCATTGAAACTTTTACATCTACATGCTGAAGAAAGGAGCAGTGCTAGAAAATGTGTATATCAATACTAATTTCTAAGAAGAAAGGAAGTGTTAAACCTTGCTGTTTTTTGTAACATATTGGACTGTTATCTAAATTCTAATAATATTTTTGTCGTGTTCTTGTTGGGTTTAATTATGGCTCTACAGAAAGCTTCTGACATATATTGTAGTCTGATACTTAAAAGAACCCAAGGAGTTAACCATAGGTTTGAAACCTTCATCAAATTGCCCAACATCACATTCAAGAATATTGCAATCAGCAATCAACCAAAAATATAGAGGTATTCTTATGTTTTCATACAATTAAGATATGTCAGTCTTATGTAAATGACACAAGATGACAAATTTTTCTATGAATCCAAAATACCACACCAGAACTGTCACAAGACTATTTGTAAGGGATAAATACCACCAGGCTACAGCTTAAAACTTCTGAAGACCCCCAAAAATGTCAAATTTGTTCCTAAACCCTGTCTAACCAGTACAACGATATCTACACAACATGCCCTATCACGTAGTATTCTTAAAATTGAAATTCGGCAGTACGTTATCAAAAAGACTACGTAACAGACACCACTTTGGTAAAATTGCTTGAAGGGATAACACACAACACAACATAACTTCCCTTAGTACTGCTTTTGTATGGCATCCTTTGTAACAGCAGAAATTTAGGGTACATTTAGCACTCTGTACATAAGGATAGAAAATATGAAATCTAGTCACTTATTTTCAAAATAAAACAGGTTAGAAAGTAATTAAGTTCAGCAATGAGTCCAGATAAGGCCATGTTAGAGAAGGCATTTCTGAGCTGTGAGGCCAGTCAGTAGATTTGGGGTCAATGCCCTACTTTCCTACATAATGACAACAGCTAACAATGTGCAGGCAAGGAACCTACGAAAATGGAGCTTAAGCTTCTTAAAAACAATATAACAAGCACAATAAAACTGTTACAAAGAGCCCTTCAGCGTTATTGTACATATGTGGTTTCACAGGCCCTATTTCATGCTAGTTTACAATAGAAAAACAGCCTTGAGTATGTCTTTTACTCTTATTTGGTCTATTCAATACTCTACATTACAGAAAAAAGCTTGTCACAAGTTTAATTGCTTAACCAAGGTCTCAAATACATTTTCTGAGGAAGAAAACCCAGAATGTTTACCGTCTTTAACAAGCCATGACAGCTTAAACTGAATAGAACACTAAGCAAATATTTGGCAAAGGTCGATTTTTCAACTGCATAAACACTAATGCCTTTAAACAGTTAAATATTTCCTATTGGATCTTCTAAAATGCAAAACTATCAAAATTTTCTCTTAAACCTATTCAAAAGACACTGATTTTGTAAGCTTACTACAAGAAAATGACAACAGAACTGCAGATGCAAGACCAGCTATGGACAAAAAAAACCAAATGCATTTTCTTTCCACACTAAACACTGACAAAAAGAAAATTCCCAAATTCTATTAAAAACACACTCAAAATTGTCTAATTTCTAAAGATGTAAAATACAAAGGAGTAATTTTGTAAAGAATGTAGTATAGCCAGGTCCTTGGCAGTCAACACCAGACACAAGAACAGCAAAATGCTTCAAACATATGCCACTCCCAAATAACACACTGCCAAAAAGGAAAGCCCAAAAATATACTAAAAACATCTTCAAAAATTGTACATAATTTTCATAGATATTGAGAAGAAAATGGAATTATTTTGTACAGAATGTAGCCAGGTCCTTGCAACAGCAACAGCTGCTAACGTTGCCTGCAGCCTTGTCGGTACAACTGTGTTCTACCTTCAGCAGGGCCCCTGCCTACAGACATGATGTCATCGCTTACATTTCAAAATTGGCTGACCAATCGCAGCGCGGGGGCCCTCAGAACAGGCATTTCGTATGGCAGGTAGCTGCTACAAACTGTGGAGGCACGGAGTTAGCTGTTCTGGGCATATGCTAGGGACTCGGAGAGTTACAATAGTACTGAGGTACAGTGAACGAAAGAATAAAGCATTCACAAGAGAGGATACTCCAGAAATGTCAATTACAAACACTTTTACGTTTCATCGAAGGGAGGTTTTTCTTTTTATTTCAAAACATATAGAAAAGAAATACAATACAAAATACAATTTTAAGGCATTAGTTTATCATAAATTGTAACAACTTTTGTTCTCAGGAAACTGCTTGACAGTGTTCTGGCAATTGCCTGCAAAATGTTCATCGTGTTTAGCTTAATTTCTGTTTCTAACTTTCTCTTTTGTGTCTTTCTGTAAAATTTTACTACTTAGCTTTCTATTCTATAAAGAAAGTTATTTTATGATGACTTTCAGATTCATACTCAGTGACAAAGATCAACAGCCTTTTTTTCAAAAGTTCAAAGTTTATGTTGAAAGTTTCGGCATCTTTTGACGACTGACTAGATATTCAAAGGCACTGAAGAGCTGGTGTGTTTGCCTTGTCACCTTTTCAAAATAATTCATAAATATGTTATGATAATAATAATAACCTTATGATGTGTGTAAGTTCTTAAAATAGAGAGGTTCCTTTTTTTACACTGCATCAATCAATGACTACATAACGTAAAGTGGAAAAACTCAAGGCGAAGGCAAACAAAATTGTTCTTGAAACTTTTTTTAGTGTTTCAGGCACAATTCACACACAGTAATTATTTTTCAAACCAGAAAACTTTCGAAAGAGCTTTGCAGCAGTTGACACTGCCATTCCAAGTTGCTTGAACAACTGGATCAACAGAAAGACATTCATTTTGCAAAAGAAACCAGTTTGTAGTTTAAAAAGAGTTCTTTTCCAAATAGTTCTTTGTAACTTCTTTGCCAAACTTACATTTGTATCAAGCAACTGGATGTCTTTTGGCAAAACCCATCTGGAGTTTTTGATAAATAAACAAGAATGTAAACATATACTTAACATTGGTAAACAATGTTTCTATACTCTTTTTCTCCGTATTCAGTTGTCAACATTGGAATTACCAAAGCTCTAGAAAGACCCTTAATGTTTTAAAGATATCCAAGAGTTACTACAAGATCACATAAAACATCATGTCCCCAAAAAATGAAATACAGTGCTTCTAAAAGTAAACAAACACTGGCCTTCAGTGCTTCCAGTGGCTGCAACAATCACTGTTTCTTCCTGAAGGTCTGGCAAATTCATTTCTCAGCCCAGCTCAAAACAACATGGTTCATGTGACACTATGGATATTACACTACACATACAGCAGCAAATAAACTCCTTTTTCTGTAAAATGTGGAAAAAGACTACGTATCAGACACGACCAACCGAGAAAAGTCTGCTGTTATACCAGCATGGAAGGTTTAAATGTGTCAAGGATTTTGCTGTTTATATGCAGCATAAAACGTCAAGTATGCATCTCAAAATGTGTAACCACATTTCAAACATTACAAAGAGATAGTAAAAAAATATTTACAGCAAAAAATTTAAATTTTGGTGTTAAAAATCAGCCCAGGAAAGGTCCCTGTGGCTTTCTCCTGTTCTGTTTTGTTGACTCTAGGTTGGGTGGACTGCAGACTTCATGGTCTGTTTGTCATGCAAAAGAATGGCCTGTCCAACATGTCCAACCTGATTACAACAGTTATCAGTGCAATCTACCTCATAATTTGCACAAAAACAACAAAACAACAACAGAAAAAGCAGCTAGATCTCTGTAGGCAACACAGAACAGGCGGATGGCCCTTTCTGAAGCAGTTTTCAGCCAGGAAAGCAGCACATATCCTGTTCAAACAAACATCAATTAATAGGAGTAAGAAAATCTAAGCTTTTCATAAACACAACTAAATCATATCCAGTTTTATAAAAAGATTACAGCACCAGCAATGGTTAGAGTTGACAACAAGGCCGTAAAATATGGCTGTGAGGCCAGGCAGCCGGGAGTCTAGACCACTCCTTTCAATTTCAAGCTGCGTCACCAGAACCCTTACTGGGGGCCCCATGGCTGAACAACAACAGCTTTACATATCTGTGGTTCGATGTAGAAAGGAAGCAAATCGGCTACAGAATCGTGACAGCAGGGGATCAGGCTGTTCTGTATCATTTTTAGGGCAGACCAGCTTGTACTGAATGGCTCACTGGGGTCCAGAATAGCAAGGTAAAAACCAACGGTAAAAATTCAAGAAAATCTGGATTTTCACAAAATCCACAAACAAGCCTAAAATCCTTGAAATCTCTCTTTAACTGAACATTATAATCCACGAAAACAAGCCTACTTTAAAGTGGGAAACAGGAAGAGGCAGCCAGGCCTGTTTTCCACTCAAAGGCAAGGGCATGCAAAATTAACCACAACATATTCACAATGGCTGGGCAAGCACACGCCCTAAAAAACACTTCCTCACAAAAACCTCCACAAAAGAAAAATTAGCCGTA